GGACACACGGACACCCAAGGCACATGGGGCAGACACACGGACACTCAGGGTGCATGGGGTGGATACACAGATGCCCAGGGAGCATGGTGGGGACAGACGGACGCGCAGGGTAGACGTGTAGGCTGCACAGCACGGACGCGCAGGGTGCACGGGGGGGACAGGCAGGCTGCACCGCACGGCCGCGCAGACAGACAGACAGACAGACAGCCGGTACGGACTCGGTGGCCAGCAGCTTGGCCGTGAGCCGGTTCTCCCTGACGGCCGCCAGCAGCCAGCGCTGGCAGAAGAGGTAGGCACAGCCCAGGAGCCCGCAGACAGCCCTGCCGAGGAGAGGGCAGCGTACGGGCAGGGTATGGGCAGGGTATGGGCAGGGTACAGGCAGGGGATTACAGGCAGGGTATGGGCAGTATATGGGCAATGTACGGGAAGGGTATGGGCAGGGTACGAGCAAGGTATAAGCAGGGTATGGGCAATGTATGGGCAGGGTACAGGGAGGGTATGGGCAGGGTACGAGCAAGGTACGGGCAGGGTATGGGCAGTGTACGGGCAGAGTATGAGGAGGGTACGGGCAGGGTACAGGCAGGGGTACAGGCAGTGTATGGGCAGCATTTGGGCAGGGTACGGGCAGGGTACAGGGAGGGTATGGGCAGTATATGGGCATTGTATGGGCAGGGTACAGGCAGGGTATAAGAGAGGTATGGGCAGGGTACAGGGAGGGTATAAGAGAGGTATGGGCAGGGTACAGGGAGGGTATGGGCAGTATATGGGCAATGTATGGGCAGGGTACAGGCAGGGTATGAGCAGGGTACGGGCAGGGGTACAGACAGAGCCCTCCTTACCCCAAAACCGCAAAAAAGAAGGTCTCCAGGAGGTCGAAGGGGAAATCAATCCTGAGGTCGCTCTTATAAATCGCGGCGATGCTTTCTGGGTGGGTGGGCGTGGAGGAATGAGCGCGTGGTTTTGGGGGAGGGCACCCCAAAAACGCTACGGGACCCGCTGCCC